AGGCCCAGTAAAGCGACCGGCGCGCTGACCCCCCCCCCCCTTTCGCGACAAGAGGTGCGTCGCGCATTCGTCTCCCGTGCGCCGCCCGTGCATCGGCCGCCGAAAAGGCCGGCCGCCCTCTCGAACGTGCGCGCCGCCCTCGCAGGGGGGCAATTTGGTGAGTGCGTCGCTAGCGCGGCGGACACCCACGAGGCCTATCGCACGCACGTCGCCCTCTCCACGGCCGCTGAAAAGGCCGGTCGCCTTCGGAGAAAAGAAAGTCGTCCACGCTGCGGCCCTCTTGGCGAGAAGAAGGCGGCCGCTGGGCCACCTCGGCAGATCAGCAAATCCCTCTAACATTACAAGTGCAGCGATGCTGCTGAACGCACCCCGGCAATAGGCCAGCAGGTCCCCGCAGCCGCCGCCACAGCCGCCGCAACCGCCGCCAGCGCCAAAACTACTGCCGCCACGATCACCACAAACGGATGCGACCGCAACCACATCCACCGCGACGATTACGACCAACACCATTTACCGCCATCACCACCACCACGACCACCACGCTTTTCGCGACCACCGCAACGACCGACACCAGCACGATCACCGACGCGACAACCACCAGCCCGTCCACCACCAGCGGCGCGACCGCCGCCAGCGCGACCAAGGCGACGAACGCGACCACGACCATGATCACCAACATGACCATCACAGAAGCACCCGCCCACTCCCCCCCCCCCCCATTCCCCTGCCGGGCCGCCCTTGCCGCCGCGCCCTCCTCGCGCCCCTGCCCCGCCCCCCTCCTTTTCTCCTCTCAATCTTCCTCTTCCACCGCCAGCGGCGGGGCCGTTCGCGGAAGGCGGGGGCGCCACTCGCGGCGACGCGCCGCGGCCGCGGAAGGGGGGCCGAAGGAGAAAAAGAAAATGAAGGGGGACACGGGGTGACAAGGGGCAAAAAAAAACACAGACGAGAGAGGAGGGGGCAGGGACAGACAGAGGGAGGCCGGTAGAAAGAAGGAGGAGAAGGGGAGGAGAGAGGGAGACGAGGCAGGAGAGAGGACGAAGGAGGAGGAATGACAAAAGAGGAGGGACGACGAGGAAGGAAAAGGGAAATAACAGGGGCAATCACCGCCCTTCCTGGCGCAATGGAGGACGCAGCAGCCGCCACCTGTGAACAGCGCAAGCGCGGCGGGCCGACGGCCGTTGCGCATTGCTGCTCGGAGAAATGCTAGGGGCGGGCAAAGTCGCGACAGCGTCGCGCATGCGTCGCGCGCGCGTCGCGCGTGCGTCGCGCGTGCGTCGCGCGTGCGTCGCGCGTGCGTCGCGCGCGTGGCGCGTGCGTCGCGCGTGCGTCGCGCGGGTCGATCGTGCGTCGCGCGCTGGCAGGGGTGCTTCGCGCGCGGGTCGGGGTGCGTCGCGCGCGCGCGTCGCGAGCGCGTCGCGCGTGCGTCGCGCGGGCGTCGCTCGGGCCGTTCGCGCGTCGCGCGCAGGTCGCGCGCGAATCGCTCGAGGTGCGCCGTGGGCCCCGGACGGCGCGTGAACTGCACGGCCCGCTAGCGAAACAATCAAGGGACGCGCGCGGCAATCGTAGAAATAGCGAGACACGCGCGTGAGAACTACGAACGCGAGGAGACCAATAGACGACATGAAGATGCAGCGCGCACAGATTAATCCATTTCAAGCGCACGCCCCGTCAGATTTTGCACATCGGTCCGTCGCTGCAGCAATTTGGCGACGTCTCGCCCGCCGGCGCGTTGGGGGGGGAAAAAGAGGATGGAAGTGAGGCGAGGAAGGGCGGGCGGAAATGGGGAAGGACTGGCGAGGAGGGGGCGCGCGGGGGCGGCGCAGCGGCGGCGGGAGCGATGGAAGGCGATCGAAGGGGGGCGGCGGGGGCGAGGAGGGCGAGAAGAAGATCCAGGAGGGTGGACGGACAACGGGGAGCGAGTAGGGAGGCGGACAGGACGGCAGCCTGACACAAAAGAACTGAATACAAATTTCGCAAACGGGACAAAATGCGCAGCGCGTTGGACGAGGGAAAGAGGAAGGAAGAGGGGGGGGCAGGAGGATTGGCGCGAAACGACATGGGGGTGCGGGGCGCGATGCGACGGGGCGAAGTGGCGCCGCGTCGCGCGACGTGACGTCACCCCCGCCGTGGCGCGACACGCACAGCCCCCAATCAACGCGAGGCGTCTTCGTCCTCAGCAACGGTTGGCGCCCCCGAAAATGAGCACCAGCAAATCCTCTTGCGCCGAATTGGAAACAGAACGCGTTGGTGGACCGTCGAACTAGAGTGCGCCGCGACCACCAAAATGGCTGCTGGCGCACCGGCGTCGGAAACCTATATATCGCCAGAGAAATTCCGAAGTCGCGCCATATTTGTCGCCCACGCGCCCTGGGAGGCCGGGATTCGGGACAGAGACGCAAACCAGGGCCGGCGCACGGACGACGCTCGGGCGACGCACCGAACGAAATTCTTCACGCTTCGCGTATCCCCACCAGCCCATCTCAAAACAGCAACTCTTGCGAAGCATGCCGACAGTCGTTTTTTTTTTTTTTTTTGGGG